AGCTCCAGGCTCTGAGCTGTCAGCACAGAGCCTGAAGCAGGGCTCAAACTCACGAACTACGAGATCATGACCTGAGCTGAAGTCAGACTCTTAAGAGACTGAGCCACCCAGGCATCCCAATACTAAAATGTTTTTTTTTAACTTCACTACCTACCTTCACCTGCGTAACTCAGCAGGGGAAACAATGTCAGTCTTGGCATTATAGAAAACATATGGAGGATGGTTATGCACATCATCAAATTAGGGGTACTCAAAAAATTCAAAAGTCCAACATAAATGACTTTCATAGTATTCAACTACCACCCTCTTTCATTCATGGCTAATGAGATTAATCATGTAAGAATTCAGAACTGTGACATACAGCACAGCATTCCTACCTGTTAGAGCCACTGTTTCCATTGCTTGAATTCCCTTTTGGTGTGGCACTAGAAGCTTTATTAACAGCTTTCACACCACACTGAGATCTCTCCCTTGATTTATCTGAAAGAAAGGTAAGGTTTTATTTGACAAGTCCCTAATTGTAAATAAAGTACAATTTCACAGCAAAATGATTAGAGATGAATTCTAATTCATTCTTTCTAAAGAAACAAAGGGCTAATTACTTCTTGATAGTCTTGATAGTTACATACTCCTACCTAGGGAATAAAAAATAATACTAAGCCACCATTTTACTTGTCACGTGATATAAAACACCTTAGTTTGTTCAAACGAAATGTATCACTTATAAACTTCTACAAATAAGCATACCAGTCTCCTCAGTACTGCTTTCGTCCGATTTGGATGCACTTCCTATCGACGAAGAAGAAGGCCCACCACCAGGCCCATTTTGTACACTGGCAACTGCATTCCTCGGAGGGGGGTCTTTGTGATGAAATTCATTTTCAGGTATCATGTATGACTTTCTACTTTTCAACTGCCCAGAGTAGCTGAAAGTCGCACAAAGTGTTTAAATATACAAATACAAATCAAAAAGTACAAACATGGAGTTTAAAAGAATAAAATTAGCAAATGATTCACCCTACTTGGTGCCAGAGAATAAAAAATATTAATTTTCAGTAAGTTCCTGAAGGTCTTTAGAGAGAGCCCCAGATGCTCTCTTAAAAATAAAAATGTAAACTGATCCTCAAACTGTCTTTTTTTCACTATTGAAGATCCAAATATCAACTGATGATAAAATTACATTTCCTCCAAACCAAGACATACTATATATGACTTTTGAAATTATCATCCAGTATAGACCGGAAGCTGATAATCAGAAGTGACAACTCTCACCAGCCTGTGGGAACATGATCGCATAATCTCCCATAATCTCCTGAAGTAAGGCAGAAGATAAACTTCAACACTGTAAAACATTTTAAAGTCTTCAGAATCCTTCTGTCATCTAGTCTCATAAATCACATTAAAGTATAATTGTGTTACCCCATAGCCAATGCATATAGATCTGGCCTCTTCTCTTTTTCTTCTTGGCAGATTTTATGCACTCTTCTTTCCAAAGCCTGACCCAGATTCAAAACTTTTGGGTACCAAGGAAGTATTTTTGTTAGCACAATCAAAATATTCCTGATGTGAGTATATTCGCCTGTTTCAAGGCAATGTACCGATGCCTACAACAAACATTTTAAGACCTATTATTATAAAAATATTAAGTATAAAGAGAAAAAAACCACCTTCAAGAAACAATTTTTTTTTTTACCTTGGTTAGTTTGTAATGCCATTTATGCACAACATGTCGAAAGTTTTCATAGTCTAATTGATCAGCTTTATTTCCACCATCAAATCCAGTTGCTCGTAATATAGTAAGGAATCCTGGATAATTTCCACATTCCTTAAAAAAAAAAAAAAAAACAAACAAACAGGCTGTTAAAGAAAAATTCTGCCCCCAAAATAGCAGGAACTGAAAACTTAAGAGGACTAGTTTAATGATTCCATGCAAAAACAAGATCTGAATGATAGGTAGTTTTCACAGAAATGTTAAGCTTATTTGATAGTATTAATTTGGCATGTCAGTTCGAGATATGGCTTTTTTAAACAGCACTTTTTAATAATGAATGAATTATGCTTAAATTTTAAAAACTGTTTTACAATTCAATCTTAAACTCACAAAACTGAACAACCTAAAGATTACTGCGAGTGGTTGTTATACACACGGGTAAAATGTTAGGGTGTTTATTAGCCATACCTTTTCATATGTGGCGCGATCACTGTGCCACCTGGTCACAGTCTCTAACATGCAGCAAAGAAATCGCCCATATCGACTAGCTTCATTTTCAGTACAGCTTGCAACTGTGTAAATTATATCAGAGAAAACCTACAGGAAAAATGTTTGAAAAATAAAAACAAATCAATGTCAAAATTAGTCCAAAATGTTAAACGGTTGTGTTACAGCAAATCATAATAAACTAAACAGGTTAGTTTATATATCTTCCCCTTTTATATTCACAATTCCAGAAACCTTTAAAGATTTTGGCTTTTGTGAGGAAATGGCACATTCATAAAGCAACAGCAACAACAAACTTTTATTTTAAAAAGCTGATGTACAATGACAGAGGAAAAAACTGTAATTATTATTACAACATAACTTCTTCAACAAAGACTTAGCCATAGATATTACTGGGGTTAAGGGGACAGTAAGCAGAGGCGAGGTTCATAGAAACTAGAAAAAGGCAGCTGACATGCTGTGACATAGGTTACATTTTTAAACCATAAATGCAGTAATTTATTAAGAAAAAAGCCAGATGCAAAATTACATAAATGTGACCATACTGAAAAGCATCCCTGCTTTTATGTGTGTGCAAAGGTGTAAGCCGTTTTGTTGTTTTTTGAGGGGGTGAAGGTTAAGAATGAAGAAGAGAGTTCTACCTATTATTGACAAACATATAAACCCATATTATGAGTTAATAGATTAACTAGGGGTGCTTATTACGTGTCAGGCACTATTCAAAGAGCTTGTGTGTAGTGACTCATTTAATCCTCACAATAATGTTCTGAAGCAAGTACTACTACCCCATTTTACAGTAAGAAAACTGAGGCACAGAGAGGTTAAAAAAAAAACCTGCCAAAGATCATATAGCTAGAAAGTAGCAGAGCTAGGATTCAAGTTCAGGCACTTGGCTCTTGAGTTCATGCTTTTAACCACACACACAATAAATACCTCTATAGCTTATCATGTTTAGCTATCTTTGTGTGAGACTTTTTTTTTTAAAGGTTGCAATAAAAGGAACTTACTCGATCATAGCAAAGAAGTGTGGAAAAATTTGGAGTTTTCTGTTGATGTACCAATTCAACAAAACGAGCACAGTAAACAGCATCAATTGCTGAAAAAATACATCGAGGAAATATACACAGCTGTAGAAATTTTGTGATGGTCTCATTTTTGGTAGATTCTAAAAATAAGGGAAGAATATATTAAGTGGTAAACTTCTTCCTCAAGTGCCTCAAGGCCACTAAACATGACAACATATTAATTTTAGTGTAGAGAATGCTATAAAAAACCACAAACTCTATAGTTTGTAACCAAAAGGTCATGCCTGGGATAAGACTTTCATTTTCACTCTGTGGACATTTTTCTATCTATAATTTCTCCAGAAATATGATTTCATCCAGAAAGGTTGAAGGATAAGCTGCCAATATTGTAGTTTATAATTACTTTCACCAGCAAACTAAATCAGTTCCTTCAGCGAACATGTGAGGTCGACTCTGCATTAATGAATCACCCAAGAACGGGATAGTGAACACTGAGTTGAAATACAAACATAATACACTTCAACACCTCTGAAGTCATAGAGGTTTGCTCTTGTAGTTTAGCAGGAGCAGGAATTTAACAAGTCCAACCACTCACTTGCTAAAAGCCAGTTGTCCTTCTCCAGTTTCAGTCTCTGTAGAACTCGCTGTACATGTTCCATCTGTTTCTTTTCTTCTTCAAGAAGCTTGTCCTGAAGGGCAGTACAACGCTCCTTCTCCTTTTTCTTTTTATTTGGAGGCTACAATGTAGAAGTTAGATACTTTTCTAACTAGAGGAACATTACCTCCCTCTCTTTGAATTAAAAAATTCAAAAAGAGATAAATGCTGACACTTCATATTCATTACTTCACAGGGGTATCGAGGAGTCCACCTGAGTGTGCTTTCACCACCATTCACCACCATTCACCAAATCCAAACTCTCGTCTTCCCATCAAAACAGGCTACCTTTCCAGCACTGGTACTTCTAGTCTGCGGCATGGAGTCATCTTTGACTCTTCCTTCTTCACTCCAGCATCCCAAATGCTTATAAAGTCTCGTGCATTCCCACTACCTCAGTACTTCACAATGAATTGCCCAAAATGCCACCTACCTGGTCTCCAGCCTAACACCAGCCCCTTCCCCCTAACAAATGCATCCTTCATACCACTGTCAAGAGTGCTTTTTCTAAAGTACCATTTTTACCATTATCACTTCCCTGCTGAGGAATCTAATACAGCCCTCCTTTTTATTAGTCTTCTTTCCTAACTTCCACTGCTCTACATAATCTGGCCCCATCCTAACCATTCAAATTGATCACTAAGCCCATTCACTAGAATAAAAGTGGTCTCTTTAAACCTTAAATTACTTCACACCTTTGCTGGAGCTCTCAAGTGGCCAATCTGCCTCCCTATTTCCAAACCTAATCCATCTTCAAAGCCTACCCAGCTTAAGACTCACCTCTTTCACAAAGCCTTCTGCTAAAGAGTTCTCCTTTTGGGAACTCCTACTGCTCTTGTAATTGGGAGTCACACAGATCATTTTAAGTTGCTAACATAGTCTTCGGTTAAAAAAAAAAAAAAGCAAACTCATAATACCTTTTGTGTGATCATAACCTCCATGTATTCACCAAGCCCCTGCCCCTTCCCACTGAGAGGTCACCACTAACTCACTTAGAAAATATTATATAGCAGTAAGATCGTAGCTTTAAGGAACTTGAGTTAATACAAAGTATGAGTAATGTTGAATTAATACCATGAAATTATTGTACCTGAGCTACTAGAACAAAAACCTACCATTTCCTGATTGTCATCAATTGCTTTCATCTGGACTTTAAGTTTATTGACTTCCCGTTCATAGCTGGTGTGTGGAACTGCAAGGTCATACATTGTCAATGACCAGAATGTGGCATAGAATTGAGGGCTGATGTCATCCCAGACTTTGGAAACATGTAAGGAGACCACTGCTTCATGGACAGGAGCCATCACCATTTCACATGATGTAATGTACTTGTGAACTTTATGTTGCTGTTTACTTCCTTTTTCTGATTTTTTAAGTTCATCATACTTTGACTGGAGATAAAATGTAAAAACAAACACAACACAATTTATAGCATTGACTTTCAAGTATAAAAACCTATGTTCCCTTCTCAAGAATCAGAAGATGACCAGTCAAAACGTTCTGATTTCTTACCAACATTTATTTTAAGATAAATCATCCCTGGAAGCTGTTCCAATCTTGTGTGCTCACTAGGAGCTTTTCAGCAGATTCTTATTAAACCTGACCTGTTAAGTAAATAGCATATGTGTGCCCACTCCACCATCCATGATCACCCACCCTACTCTCTCTTACTACTATATCAAAGACTAAACATGTAGGTTTTCCATTCCTGCTTTTAAGATCTTCAAGGGAACCAAGTAAATGGTCTTAACACCAGTAAAGAGGCAGAATGGAACTAGTAATAGCTAACCAGCACAGAATGTTTTATCACTACACATAGCCCCTACTGGCCGTTACAATTTGTCAATTAAGAATCTCGATCAACATTAAGAAAGGGTATGAGAAAGTTACTATAAGACTGCCAAGTAGGGTGCCTAAATGTTCAGGTTTGGCAGTGAACGAGGGGATTCCCAGGATGCAAGAGTACCGTGCCAAAACTGGCAGTCCCAAGCAAACCAGGACGAGCTGGTCACCCTGCTGGTAAGCTAAATAAGACTTTCTATGAAGGGATATGGTAGATTAGAGTTTAAAGCATGTAGGAACTGGCTCTGCAGCTTTTTTTAGGCCTGACTGGTTTATCCTAATTTTGGAGGAGGGTCAGAGGAAGGCCATACTCTTAACGGTAGGAGGAAAAGAAGCTGTTAGTACAACGGGAGGAACTACATATCAGTTCATAGGGTATAATACCAAAGGTCAAAAAAATAAGAAGAAGAAGAAGAAGACAAAGTGTTGTTGCTACTGTCTCCTATCCTTCGGTCTCTTTAGGATGAAAATTTTGTTGGGATGAGGCATCCATCATCCCTGAAGATGAACCTAACAGGAGATCTAAAACTCACTTCTTCTTTATGTTAAATAAAGAAGCATTTAAATCATCACAGTTTGTGCTGAACAAGGAACCCAGAACCAGAAGGTCAGACATCAAAGGCTCCACTTCCAGGGCTGGACTGTGGATGGTAAGAGGCTCGGCTCCTTACAGTCCCGCTGTCTTCCCTCCGGAGTGCCTCTCTACCCCAGGCTAACCGGACGGAAGACATACCAAGTACTTGGTTCCAGAGGGTAACTTAAGCAGCATCTTACAATTATGAGAATTACAATCAGAGAATCTTACAATTATTCTATAGGTGGAAGATTTACCTCCTGTTACCCCATTTTAGAGAACTACACAGGTGACAAAATTACAAAGAATATTACTTTTGAGAGTGAAGTCCCAATTACATCACAGACCCGAGAGAATAGCCAGGATAAGGAAGGGTCTTTCACCTCTGAGGCCAGGTCCTGTTGATGGTAACTAATATGAACCTATGTGAGGCGGAATGACATCTGCTGAGGTTCTAACAAAACGTAGGATAATCAGTGCTAAAACTATCTGTACAAGATAGCTTGGCTACCTGATTTGGGCAAGATCTAGAACATGAACTGGGGGAAAGCCTTTCTTTCCTAACTGTGTTGCAAGGTGGGTCTCAACAATTAAAACTGAAAATTAAGTTATAGGCATGAGGGGGCAATGATGTGGTATGACAGCCCCCGTCTCCCCAGTCGTCTGGTTCTGAATATCACTACTATTGCTAGGCACCCACCTAGTCCCTAGCTAGTTAAAAAGAAAAAAAAAAAAAAAAGGCTTGATGAGAAAAGACAGCTGTACTTCATATTTAACTACGATGAAGATTTCCTCATCTGAAGTCAGTATAACTCCCTCTTCAAGCTTACACCTTCAGTCAAATAAAGAGGCATAACAGCTCTACATCTCAAGTCACTTGGGGCACTAAATCCATGACTAGAACTGATATCCACAGTTATTGCTATACTTCTAACGACTGTTCAAAAAGCTCCTGTTGGCCCAGTAACCTGAACAGTGTTTGGTCGGCTAAATCACTCCCGTGAGGGCCCGATGGTAGTCCATTTACGGAAGGGACCCGGCAGTCCCCCACCATTCACACCCTCTCCTTGAAGTTTCTTCAAGAGAGGTCCTCACCCAAGAAGCAAAAGCAAGGCTCCTCTAGGGAAATCTGGATGTCCATCTAGCGCAACCAAGGTTTCCAAAGAACTCCCTTTCCAATGTGGTCTGTCAGTAACAGACTTATCCCTGACTTGTCTGTATAGTCACCTCTATGTGGCCCTTTGTTTTCTTCTGCAACCCTGACGGGGAAATGACATTTCTCAGTTTAGAATTTGTATCTCTTAAATGACAAAGACCTAATATTTTACACAGGCTACAGAAGAGGTAGCTATTGGTAGGAATGACCTGCTCCATTTTCTGACCTGGAAAAGTTCAGCCAACCTCAGGCAACCAGGTGTTCCTGTTTGCTAGGGTTCAATATCGCTGATTAGTGTGTTCACTTCTCAGTATAGCACAGGGCAGGTCAGAATTCCTGAGATGAAGCAATTCTCCCACCTCAGTCCTTCAAGAAATCAGGTCCCCTGGTGCATAGCTGAGACTGACCTACTGAGGGATGGGGCAACAACACAAGACACAACTATGCAAAAAGAGCATACAATTTCCTGGATTGAGAGATTCTAAAGGGAAAAAAGAGGCCTAATCCTACCCCTTGTCCCCCTTTCCCTTCAGAGAAGATAGCAGAAATAGCAACAGTATTGTTGCATAATGCTGAAAGTGATAATTAAATCAATTAACAGTTGTTAGAGGGAAGTGTGACACTGCACCAGTTGATATGTAAACACTAACAGCTGATGGTTGATTAAATGATCAATTAGACCCCAAATTTCTCAGCGTCTTTTCTCCACACCTATACTACACAATTCTGTGTTTCTACTGGGAACAAAGAAGGATCCTAGTTTAAAAGAAAGGACAGAGATCTTCCCCAAAATCTGGAGTGAAAAGCCTTACCCAGTACAGACAACAACAAATAAACAGAAGGGCCAGAATTCAAGCCTACGCAAAGATGAAGAATACACTGGGGCTCCAGTCAGAGTGGAGAAGTACCACGGTTTCCAAACAGAGGGCTGACCATGGTCCGAAGGGAAAGGAAAAGCCCATTCCCCTTCCAGGTCACTGCTTTGCAGGCAAGAGTCCAGGTGGCAGAGAGAGAAAAGGAGGGAGGGCAGTGTCCTCTTCCCCCAACATCCTTACAGTCGCTAGTGGGATACTCTGCTTGGGAAGGCTCTGGCTTGCTTTTGTCGTTTTTTCTTTTTAGGCGTCTCATTTAGCAGGGAGAGAAAGAAAACAAGAACCATGAATGTCCCTTTCTGAGAAGTTACACAACACAGACTACAAGAGTTTTTAGAGTGTTTGGGGTGGTTAAGTCTTTCTGTTAGTCTCTTTATTTCTCTCAAGGCAGTACGAACAGCAAGTCAACTATCTGACGGGGATATTGTCAACTGAAGAAATAGTACCCTCTGTATTCCATGGGAGTATTCCGCAGAATGACATTATCATATCTTCCTGCATCAGAATCAACCAGTGCTTATTAAAAAACAAAAACAAAACAAATTCCCAGGTACTATGCAAGTCACTAAATTAGAATCTGGGGACACAGGACGAGTTTCTAGGATGCTTCATTGATGACGCTCATCTACACTAATGTTTGAGCACTATAGTTAGCTCTAAAGGGCCCATACGACATCAACCTGGACAACTGGGGGTACAGTAACAGTAAAATTATAGCACCAGTGAGACTTACATTTAGAGGGAGCATTGTCATCGTACACCTCTCAGAGATGAACGTTAACAAAAGAATAACTCTCCAAGGGGCACCCGAGTGGCTCAGTTGGGTCGAGCATCTGACTCTTGGATTTGGCTCAGGTCATAATCTCATGGTTTATAGGATCGAGCCCAGCACTGGGCTCTGTGCTGGCAGTGTGGAGCCTGTTTGGGATTTTCTCTCACCTCTCTCTCTGCCCCTCCCCGCTTTGTACTCAGTCTCTGTCTCTCTCAAAAGAAATAAACTTTAAAAAATGTCTCCAAGAGACATGTAATCTATATCTATTTCAAACTAAAACACATTTATAGTTAAGAACTACTTTGGAATCATTCTTGAATGGCAGCAAAGACACTTACACTTACCGAAATGTGGTGTGCATACATTGGCCTAGACAGGAAAAATGCTGCATCATGGGGTGTATGAAATTCATTACAGAGCACATCAATTGAAGGCACTCGCTTTATATAATCTTCTGTGCTTAGATTAGATGCTAAAAACCCACCAAACTGTACCAGGGTATCATGACACTAAATTTAAAAAATAAGACAAAAAACACAAATGTGCTACCACTTTACAAAACCGACATAAACATTTTCCAAAATGATTACAATAGGTCATTTTAACAATATTTTGATTAACAATAAAGAATTCAAATTTTACAACTTAGAAGAACTTTAAAGACAATCTATAAACATCATCATGTAATCATATTACCACAAAAGATACCAAGGCCCTGAAAAGTTCATCAACCTAAGGCTTTAATGTTCAACCAGGTCTCAAGTTCCAAGCTATTATTTCGTCACTTTTAGTAGAATATACTTCCCCTACATCACATAAAACAACAGTTTTACGTATACAGAATTTCCTTGCCCTTAAAAGAGGAAAACTTCATTTATAAAATATATGTGATCTCTTTTTTCCCTTGTAATACAGTTGGTGGTAAACACATCTTGTAGGCTAATCACAGGTTTTGGTGCCTAATATTTACAGAAATATTTTATAAACATCACATCTACTTTGTTCTGACTGAATTTCCAGATTTCCAGAGATCAGGAAAAGATATGAGAGCAAATAACTTGAAGTTAACTACTTAAAAATCTTATACATATGATTACGTTTCCTAGAGCCTTCTCTTAAATACCATAATTTGCACAGAAATACCCCCTAGTTCAAAAATGCCTATTTTACATTAGAGCTGTTTCACACTCATATGATGTGCAAGTGACATTTTAAAAATTATATCGCATTCTGGGGCGTCTGGGTGGCTCAGTCAGTTATGCATCTGACTCTTGATTTTGGCTCAGGTCATGATCTCACAGTTCCTGAGACTGAGCCCTGCGTTGGGCTCTGTGCTGACAGCACAGAGCCTGCTTAGGGTTCTCTCTCCCTCTCTCTTTGCCTCTCCCCTGCGCGTGCTCTCTCTCAAAATAAACATTTAAAAACAAAAAATAAATAAATAAATGAGAATTATACCACATTCCATATTTTCCACTATCAGGATAAAAAAGAAATCCACACAAGCACAAAAGCCACTTTAACTTGCCTGATCATAGAGTTTTCCCACAAGTTTCAAATGTTTCTCTCCACCTTCCTGGAAGATTACCCCATTCCTCTGCTGAGCCATAAGCAAACAGAGAGGAAGAGCAAGATCATGGTCCAATAGTGCATCTTTTAATCTCTGGGAGGATTTTTTAGTGTTTCTGATCTGGCCAAAATAACCACCCTGCACAAGAGAAGACATAAATTTACCAGCGCATAGTACATAACACATGCTATCTGATTTGAAAAAGACACAGAAGAGGATCAGTTACAATCCTGAAGATTAAAAACTTATTCTACATTCCTTGCCTCTCTTCACAAATTTATTTTAGTGACACAATTGCTGATTACAGTCACTAGTTTCAAGATTCAACAACAGAGTGATGATGTTCAGATTAACACCAGTTAGGATATCAAGGACCACAGAACACTTGGTATTTACTTCCCTTACAGATGCACTGCTGTCTTTTATACTTTGTTTCAGCTGTTTGAAAGGGCTTAAATAACTAGTATATCACAGTTTTCAAAAGGGAGATGAGGACAGCCATGAGAGGAAGGTTATGCATGGCTTTGACATTTGGCTTCATGTACTTACGTGTTGTTTGGATTCGTTAGTATGAGCATGCATCTATTTTGAACTTAAAAAGTCCATAAAAAAACTAACAACTCTCACCTCAGCTTTTAGTTGCTCTCCACCAGTCATGGCCTCTAGTTGCTCCATCGTCATTTCCTCTGTTATTTCTATTCCTGCCATTTTTTGTACCACTTCTTTCAATATAAGCAGGTCAAAACTATTTAGAAAAAATAAGAAACAGTCTAGAGTTGAAACTTCAAACATAAAAGTTACAATATATTACAATTAACATGCTGAGAATCCCTAAATTGCTTGTATGTAAATATGGAGCGGAAAGGGGCTAATGTGGTTTTTAAGAAAAAACTGCATTCTGGAACTATACTGAACAATATTTGAGACATGTAATATATTTACTTTAACATTTTCTTGGGAATAATTTCAAACGTACAGACAGTACGTAAAGATAAAAAATAGTACAAAGCACTGCCATCTACCCTTTACCCTGACTTCACCTATTAACATTTGGACTCCTGTTCTCTTTATCGTTTGTGTTTTCTCTCCCTCCCTCTACACACACACACACACACACACACACACACACACACACACACACACACAATTTTTTCAAACCATTTGAGAGTAACTTATTTAGTAAGTAACATCACTTTTAAGGGCACATTTTACCCCTAAAATTCCTAAGAATGTATTTCCAAGAATATAATTATTCTCTTACATAACCACAGCATAGTTATCAACTTTAGTAAATCTAACACTGATTCAATACTTTAATCTATAGTTCATCTTTTATTTTTTATCACTTGGCCCAAAAGCCCTTCATAGCATTTTTAAATGTTTTTTATTTTTTTTTAATTCAAGTATAATTAACATACAGTTTATGTCAGTTTTACTCATACAGTGATTCAACAGTGCTATACATTACTCAGTGCTCATCATGGTAAGTGTACTCTTAATCCCCTTCACTTCTTCACAGCATTTTTTTATCCTCCAGTACAAGGTGGCCAATATATATATTTGACGGTATAGAGCCATCTCTCTAAACAATCACACACACTTGGAAGGAATGGAGGGAGTGAGGGATAGGAGAAAGAAAAAAAGGAAGGGAACGAAGTTCCAAGTTGCAGTGTATGAGCCTAAGATGACAGCCTTAAAAACATTTGTTATTGTGCCAATAGTTACTCATTTTAATTCTCAAAGCTTAGGACTATCAATGGAAATAACAACATATGACTTTCAAGATCCTCTTTAATTAGTTAAGTAATGAAGATTAAGTGGAAACCTTCTTTCCTACAAAACAAATACAGACGTGTTCCCAAACGTAAAGCTAGACATACGCAAGACACAAGTTAAAAATAGATAAAAGGCAGTGTTTGAAGATTCTTATTGAGTGCTTACTCTCTCAACTTGTCTTGCCTTCCCTAAACATAGGTTTTGAAAACAAGAGAGCCCTCCATGCAAATTAGTATGCAACAAGTGCCAACGAAATATTTTAATTTTTCTTTAAACTATCTTTTAATTAAAAACTATATTCACAGTACAGAAAACTGAGCTATAGACTTAAAAATAACATTACATTCTCCTGGCCCATAGACACAGAAGAGTAAAATGTATAGGAATGGTGGACAGATGCGCAGAGTGCGATGTGCTGATAAAATCCTAAAATCTAATTATTTTTTTCAGTGTTCTCTAATCCAAAATAAGAATCTGTCAAGAATTACTTAGGTAATACTTGTGTGGAAGAGCAGATAGCTTTAAAACTTTTGTTTGCTTTCTACCAGAAAGTTTTCAGGAACAATTTCCAGTTCTTCGAGTCTAGTCCGTCTACTGCTGAGGAGGTTTAAGATACACACTAATTCCAACTCTAAGCAGTGATATGGGTCCAAAAAACAATAAAATTCAGTATTTATAAAGAAAAGAGAATGTTATCCAAAAGGTATACAAGCTGTACGTAATCTCTGAAGTCCATATTTTTTTAAAAAATTGTTTCAAAAATACTATATACACCCTCAAAATAAACATGTTCCTACCATATGCTTAATGTAAAGTTCAATTACTGTCCAGCAGCATAATCAATAATGTAATATGTCTTGTCATAAGAAGATTTACAATATACCATATTAACTAACCACTTATTCAAGAGCCTAATAGGTAGTCAAAATGAATTGTCTTTTTAATGAATTATATATATGGCCAAATATTACATTTGTGTAAAAAAGTATTTATGTATGAAATTACAATTTCTTTTAATTAAAGAATTCCATATATATAAGTGAGCAACTATTCTACTTAAGCCTACAACCAACAGTTTTTCAGGATAATAGCAATCTCAATATCCCAATACCACCAGAAGTACTCTAATTACTGAATTTCATTTACATATAATTTGCTATGAATACCTTTTGCCTGCCTTTAGCTGATTAGCCACATATTGAAGAAGACCAGCAAGATCAATTGGATATTTACGAAAAACTGCACCACAGAAACTAGCCAGACCTATATGAAATAAAAAAATAGGGCTTTTAAAAAACAGTTCATAAAACAAAAAACAAAAACAAAAACAAAAAAAAAACACAATATTAAGCGCCATTTCTCAACTAACTCAATCTCTAAAACAAAATGAGCTAGGAATACTTGTATTGCTGATGCCATTGAATGGAGTTTTAGAATTAATAACAGCTAATATTTCTTGAGCATACATATGCGAAGCACTGTACTAAGTACTTTAATGTTAATTATCTCATTTAATTTTTGCAATAATCATCTCAGGTTGTTATCAACCTATCAATAAGGAACATGTCACATAGTTGGTATGAGGTAGCACAATGATTGAAACCTATACGACCTGATTCCAGAGCCTGTTGGGCCACAACAATTAATCAGGCCACAACAAAATCTTGCAGATCACTCAGTAAATTTGAATGATCAACAAAACACCTGCCTCTCAAATGTTTGAGTCACACACAAAAAATCTCTTTTTATCTAGAAACATGCTACTAGTTGTGGAGAGGCAAGCAAACAGGTAAAGCATTGCCAGACCAAGAAGCAAACAAACGACCAATTTTTACCAACAGTCCTTATCACATCATGAGTAAGGAGAAAACCCCAGTCAAGACAAGAAGAGGAGATCCCAGTAAAAATCAAGTGATCTGTAGCCTTTTCAACAATTATTTGCTGAGCATCTAAAGGATAATGGACAAAACACAAGTCCTGCCCTCAAGGAGCTTACAGTCTAATGAGGGATACAGAAAAGTGAACTGACATAACTATGATGAATAAAAGGTTCCATGGGAATACAGAAACAGAGCACCTAATTCTGACCTTTGGGTAGGAACATTAATAGGGAAAGCCTTCTGAAGAAAAGTGACCTCTAAGCTGAAATCTAATGAATAAGTAGAAGACGTGGTGGAGGAAATGAGGCTGCAGCATGGAAGGGTGAAGGGTATTCCAAGTAGAGGCAATAACACGTGCAAAAAAGGCCATGGAAAGTACAAGTTCAGTATTAATGGAACCTAGAACACTGGGGAGGGGCAAAAGATGAGGCTAATACACTGAGTAAGGACTTGATTCCAAAAGAACTTACTTACATGACTTAATCCAGATTTCAGACTTTAAAGGGCAATGGGGAGCTACTACAAGATTCAGCTATCAAACGTGATAGGTTGAAAGAAAAGGGAACTCACTGCTAGAAATCAAAAGCATAAGAAATTAAAAAAAAAAAAAGTAGTGTTTTTTGTTAACAAACAAGTTTTTGTTCTTTTAAGATGACTGAAACGTCAGGATAGAGAGAAAAGACAATAGTTCCTTTAAGATTAATTCCACTGAAATAATAGAAGGGAATTTTCATCTCCCCAGTAATGCTTGCACAAATTCTATCATAGCCAGTACTGGACTCTTGAGTTGGAAAATGAATAAGTACTATATGAACTTCCTTACGCAGCCAAAGACTTGGACGTCCAGCTTGAGAACAAGCCAAGTGGCTAAGTATTCTCAGCACCTCTTGACAAACAGGCTCTTAGCATGGGTAATAGAATATATAACATGGCAATTGCAACAGATGGAAATTTCATCCTTGGAAAAATAAAAATACTTACTCTGAAGCCAGCTTGAGATGGTTGTGTCGTCATGTTTCATTCTCTCCTTTTCCGGATTAGCTAAAGCTTCAATGATACAATCTTTCATACATTAAGGAAAAATTTTAGGTCACTACAATCTCTAATAAAGACCCTTAAAACAACAAAATACCACATCTTGGAAAACAATTGTTAGCTTCAAGTTATTACAAATCATTGAAAATTACACTCCATGTAGTACCAACTTTTCTTCTTTAGCCACTTTTCCATCTTTCAGCAAGCAAGACAGATTTCACCTGTATCACGATGTTTAGTAAACATAACATTGTTCTCTCCCTATATACAACATAGACACGTATACACAAACTCCTGGCTGGCCAACCTTCAGATCAGCCACCTGAATCAACCTCATATGGCTACTAATGGAACTTACAATGAAAAAAAATAATGAAACTAAAATGTTCACCATTAAGGTCTATGAAATGTGAAATCTATGTGTTAGTTCACTTGAAAGGATACAGGCCAAAACATCATAATTCAATGAAGTCAGGTATTTCAATGAATCTACTACAGGTGTTATTAAGTTATCATACTTCTGTATTTGTGATAAGATCTGGAAGATAAGAGCAAAGAATAGATGGCATTGACTCATCAAAAGAGGCGTTCTGTGCTAAATTATGGCTATATTTTTTAAGAAACCATGCTTAAAAATAAAGTAGCTTCTATTTTGTATTTATATAAGATCTATTCCATTTCTTTAGAAAATATTTTCATAAGCTACATTTTCCAATTAGGAAATAATTCCAGGAATAACTTGAATTTCGGAATGATAAATGCCAAATGTCTTTTAGAAATCTCTTTCTAAATATGAAAGTGCTATGCTTGAATGAAATGCTATTCAAATGTTTCTAACAACTAAAATCATATATAATGCATCTCTTTATTAATATTTCTCTAAATCAACATATGGTACATAAGACAGTATTAGATTATTTATACCAGTAGCATTGTTATATATTACCAAAAAATTAGATCAATGTGTTAAATATATTCTATGCTGTTTTCGTTTTAGATTATATGATGTCTCATTTGCTAAAGATTTTTTTCCCCTAAAACTACCATTTTTAAAACTTCATCATTCCATTTCCACTTGTCCTGATTTAAAGATAACAAAAAGAAATATCCCTTAAAGCAATATTAACCTCAAAACATACATAATCAAACAAAATGGTTGGATTGCTGTGGCTCAATTTCCCAATTTGTCTTCCAGAAGGCTTCACATTTTCCTTGGTTAGACGCCTACAAGAGGAGAAAAAGGTGGCACGGATCATCTTAATTAAGTCATTTCCCTCACAATGTTGACAGCTTTGTTGTATCATAAAAACAAAAGAAAAAACAGGTATTTCCCAAGTATCTAAAATGGATCTATGTAAACAACCAAATTCTTCATATACTTTACTGTAGGCCTTAGGCTATTTGATTAGGCATTCTACCAAAGGATATTAAGATTTTATATTGATGCTTAACATTTGTAATATACACATTTCCATTTTACAGTAAGTCTAATAAGCAAAAACTCCTAATGTACTCTACAAGCACATAAAACTCTTGTAGCAAATCAGAATTATTTTAGATTTAGATGGGCTCATTTATCAGCTCAGGGATTAAAATACAAAATTTAGTGTAATGCAATGAAATACCTCATACCATCTGTCTCAGTTACCCTAATAGAGTAATAGCTAATGCCGCATTCCTTGATATAGGAAGTTCTCTGGTTTTCATGTAAATAATTTTTGAAAGGAAACCATTTCTGAAAAATCAATTCTACTCCTTTTCTTCCTCTTTAATTCTTCCTCTGCTCAGTATTCTTTTACTAACATTCTGGAAAACTTACATCTATGAAATGCTTACAGCTCAAAATTATTACACAGCATCTTAAATTCTTCTGACATTACATAATACATCTACAAACTTAAAGGGGCACCTGGTGGCTCAGTGGTTAGGCAGCTGACTCTTGATTTCGGCTCAGGTCATGATCTCACGGTCCTGGGATCAAGCCCCATGTTGGGCCGTGTGCTGAGTGTGAAGCCTGCTTTGGATTCTCTCTCTCTCCTCTCTCTCTCTCTCTGCCCCTCCCCTGTTTGTGCTCTCTCTCCTTTCTCTCTCTCAAAATAAATAAATAAACTTTATGGGGCGCCTGGGTGGCACAGTCGGTTAAGCGTCCGACTTCAGCCAGGTCACGATCTCGCGGTCCGTGAGTTCGAGCCCCGCGTCAGGCTCTGGGCTGATGGCTCAGAGCCTGGAGCCTGTTTCCGATTCTGTGTCTCCCTCTCTCTCTGCCCCTCCCCCGTTCATGCTCTGTCTCACTCTGTCCCAAAAATAAATAAAAACGTTGAAAAAAAAATGAAAAAAAAAAAAACTTTAAAAACAAATCTAGGAACTTTAAAAGCTGACAACTGAAAGCTTTCTAGAATGAAAATACAGTATGATGAAGCAAATAATGAATTCAGTTGATAGTTCAAAGAATGGAACAATTCTGGAAGTAACAAACTTAATTAAGAAGTTTCTTATGACAAAACTGACCCATCAATCAAAATTATTTCATCATCAACTGCTTCCCTTTCCCATTCTCCATGGCCCAGTTTCCCTTTTCCCCCACAGAAGAGAGATCTGTCAAGTTTTAAATTTTGGCTATACTCTGTTCCACCTTCAAACTTACTACCACCTGTCCTTACTTCTGAGCCTACTATTTCAAGTGGTCATCCTACTGCCAAAGCAAACCCTTCTTCTCTATACTTTTTATCCCATTCCCTTCTGCCTCCACCCTGGAGAGAAAGAGAAAGAAAAATAAAAATAAAAATAAAAGGAACAGATTCTTGATTTTGTCTCCCCCTCAAGCTACCACGCACGGTGTCTGGCATATGGAACACAATCAGTGAGCATGTGTGGAATGAATTACTGAATGCCTTACAGCAAATTCATTTTTTAAACAGTAATCAAAATTTGTGAAATTCTGCAAGTAATAAATTAATATATTCCCTTCCCAACATACAAACTTCAATCAATACCAAAATCACATTGTTCAAGCCTGGTGAAATAGTTACAACTAACAAATACAACAAAAACCCAAGTACATTAAAAATTCTACACATATCCTTCTGTGATAAATATTTTTATTAATCAATTCATTCTTATTAATGTCTTCTATGACAGGCAAAGAGCTAAGCACTAGGAATACAAGGATGAATAATAGCTCCTGCTCTCAAGCTTAGTCCAGCTGGGGAGACAGAGTCAACCTATTTTTTACATTTTACATTCTCTAACAAGTACAGCAAATTACAGAACAGTACTAATTATATGCTATCAATAGTACAAAAAGGGAGAACAGTATCTTTGTATTCACCTGTATACACATAAAAATATCTGGAAGAATAAATGAGAAAGTAAACAGTGGCTCCTTCTTTCCTTTAGGAGGACTGAGTGGATGGGGGGTAGGGTGTGAGACTTCTTACTATCTACCTTTTTGTATTTATTGAAATTTAAACAATGTGCATGTATAAACTATTCAGAAGATTAGATAATTATATAAAAGGCAAATAATCCTAGCCATGTATCTCAGTGGTATGATAGCATCACATGCATATGGGACAGTGGTGGTGCAAATAAAGAACAGTCGATTGTGCTTGGCAGTATGTGCTACGGAAGGCTTCATGAGATGGTTAACACTGGAGCCCACCCTCCAAGGATGAGGTCACCAGTTAGGGAGGAAAAACCTGTACCAACAAAAGAAACGAAAAACATATGCAAAGATAAAGAGGACCACAGCACACTGAGGGAAACTTAACTGGACTCAGTACGGTTGGAGGTAGAATTGGCAGGGAAAGAGGTTGGAAATGGGGAGGGACAGATCACAAAAGATGTCTCACATCACCACACCATAAAGGTTGACATATCGTAATCTGCAGGCAATGGTTAGTCACCAAGGGATCTTGAAGAAACAATAAATACAAGGCACCATAATACTCCAGATAAAAGAAATGAGTTATAGTGGCAGTACAGAGTGGAAGAGACAGATTCAAGAGATTTGGTAAGATCTAATATACAGTTGACCCTTGAACAACATGGAGATTAGGGGCAATAACCCCCAACTGTTGAAAATCTGTGTATAATTTTTAACTCCCCCAAACCTTAACTACGAATAATAGCCTACTGTTGACCAGAAGCCTTACCAATATAACATAAAGAGCCAATTAACACATATTCTGTGTATTACACACTGTATTCTTACGATAAACTAAAGAAAACGCTATTAAGAAAATCATAAGGGAAACAATTACAGTACTGTATTGTATTTATCAATACTGTTAAGTTTACATCATCTATTTACAAGGTGAACAGTCTGTCAGTACCTACATCAGTATTATCTTATATGATATAAAACACTGTAGATGTAGGTACTAACACTAGACATCAAAAATGAAAAGATAATGTGGAAAAGAAATTCATATTCATTCACAGGTATAATGATTCATACACTGATAATGAAACAGCAGCAATATGATTGGTTTTATGACAGCCTAGTATAATCGATACAATTGCTTCATGGTAGCCTAGCCTATAGACTAATGAATGAATCGTTATAAAATTTTAATGGCATATAGCATTACACTCATATTCATAATACAGTATTGGAAACACTGTTACATTTATTTAGAAAACCACTTACCTGTGATGATAGGCTGATATGCAGTTTGTCCAATTACAAGAGAAAGGCATACTACAGTAATAACAATTCTTTGAAAGCAAAGTTGTAAACCAGTAAGAAAACGAACACTTCATTAATGTTGTTAAATATCATTCACCGAATGCCTACGTAAGGACAGCCTATCCACTTCCATACAAGTCTTGCACACAATGTCCTACATGATGAGGACAGAAAAACATCTCTTATAGTTCTTCCCACAGGGTTAGATTTTCATACAGAGACACACACAAACACAACAGGTAAGTTTCTTAACTGTATCACAGGATGATTATTAGTGGAAGTGGATCATCATGAAGTCTTCATTCTCGCTGCCTTCGCACTGAGTAGGCCGAAGAGGAGGAGAAAGAGGAATGGTTGCCATTCTTGCTGTCTCAGGGATGGCAGGGTGGAAGAGGCGGAAGGGGTGGAAGGGAGGCAGCTGAGGCAGGCACACTCAGTGTTACTTTATGGAAGTACATGGTAATTTGCCTGACTTTTTTGCTTTTCCACTTTAAAAATGTTTCAATGTGATACCCATTCTTCTCCCACTATTTGCTTTAGGTTCAGTGCCCATATCATAGAAGGGTCCATGTCATAAGAGAAGTCAGAAGCAGTCTTGAATAATCAGAACCTTCTGCCAGACTGTCTAAGGTCAATCTGTTTTCTGTCACTGCTTCTTCTACATCTTTTTCTTCATCTTGCATTCATTCAGAAGCACTCATCTCCATCAAGTCATCTGCTATGTAGTGTCTAATAGCTCTTGAATTTCTGAAAAATCCAGATCTTGAAACCATTTACTCCCAACCTTTTTTGCCATATCCACAATCTCTTTCATGATTTCCTTGACTGGTTCTGTCATAAATCCTGTGAAGTCATATACAACATCTGGACACAGTTCCCCCCCTCCCCCATCAGAATTCATTATTTTGGACTTGATAGCTTTTACAGCTTTTCTGCAACAATCATGGCATCTTCAATGGTGTAATTAATTCTTCCAGAATTTCATAATGTTCTATTGGGGTTCTCTTTCATAGTGTTCACAATCCTTTCCATAAAGTACTGTGTGTAATGAGTCTTAAAGGTCCTTATGACCCCCTGATTTAGAGGCTGAACTAGAGACACTGTGTTTGAGGGCAAGTAGACCATTTTGGCACCTCTGGTGTTGAATTCATGGGGTTCTGGGTGGCCAAGGGCACTGTCCAATATGAAAAGACCTTTAAATTTTTTTATTATTATTTATTTTTGAGAGACAGAGAGAGAGAGAGAGAGAGAGAGAGAGAGAGAGAGAGAGAGAGAACGAGAACTAACAGGTGAGGGGCAGAGAGAGAGGGAGACACAGAATCTGAAGCAGGCTCCAGGCTCTGCGCTGACAGCAGAGACCCGGATGCAGGGCTTGAAACCATGAACTATGAGATCATGACCCAAGCCGAAGTCAGACGCCCAACCAACTGAGCCATCCAGGCACCCCTGTTAAAAGAACTTTAAAAGTCAGTCTTACTGCAAGGTATTTCCCAACTTCTGGGACAAAGCCCTGATCAATTGAATCAACTGAACCAGTTGATCTGAATCAATTGATTGATTCAACCAATCAACTGAAAAGATTGGATTGATTCAATCCAGAAAAAGAGGCTGTTGTCCAGGCCTTCTTGTTGTACAACCAAAAGACTGGCACTTGATGTTTATCTTTTCCCTTCGAGGCTCAAGTGCTAGCAGCTTTATAGATAAGGGCACTCTAGATCATAAACCTAACTGCATTTGCACAAAACAGTAGAGTTAGCCTATCACTTCCTGCCTTGAATCCTGGTACTTGCACCTCTTCCTTAAGGTCTTTTGTGGCTTTATTTTCCAGAATAGGGTAACTTTTGTCTGCATTAAAAACCTGTTCAGGGGTCGCCTGGGTGGTTCAGTCAGTTAAGCATCCAACTTCAGCTCAGG